ACCACCTTATTTAATTTTATGATTATTTTAATTTGGGGGCACTGGCCTCAGCCCAGTGGTGCTTGGGGCTCTGCTTGACTTTGTGCTTAGGAGTAACTCCTAGCAGCACTAGAAGACCATACACAATGCTGAAGATCTACCTGGAGTCAGCCATACATAGGCAAGAGCAAGTGCCTTACTTCCTGTACTATCTCTCCAGACTTGGATATCATCTTAAATATCTTCTCTCCTGTGTTTTATTTAGTTTCATGGGAGTTCTCATCAGCTGATTGTGAAAAATATGTGACTTTAACCAAGAAAATCACTGGAAATGCAGATGAACTCTCTAGAAAGAATTGCTAGAGGGCATTTATAAAATGAGCATGAGCCATGCATGACTGCAGAAAAATTTATGGCTTTCCAATAAGCAGCCTCTTGCCCTGAAGAGTCTTGCTTCAGAGCAGTGACAAATGGAAGGTGTCTGACTGGAGCCGGAAAGTGTTTTTTCAACCCTGCTATTATTGAAAAGCAATGACCTTAATTCTAATCTACAAGATTATCTTGTTTTTATGTAACTGTTAAGAACTTTTACCCCCACCAGAAACTGAATTTTGTCCTAGGAGGTGTTAAAAACCTGTTTCTGTGGGCAGAGGCAAATCTGTCATTTCATTGCTAGAATTTCTAATGAGTCTTTTTACTGCAAATTCAGCAGTATGTAGAACAATAGGTAAGGAGGAAAGTGAATAGTTCTGGTTTCTCCTTCCCACATGTTTATGCCTTATTTGCCTTGTAAATTCCCAGCCTTCTGTTGGAGTAATCCAAGGAAAACACATAGCAAGATTCTTGTACTTAAAAATTATCATGGAAGGGTTGGAGAGATAGTTAAGGCATGTACCTGGATAGAGTGTAAGACACATGCTTTGTTCACAGCCCACACTGGTTTGAAACCCAGCACCACATGGTCCCTGAGAATCTTTGGGTGTAGCTCTAAGCACCTGGGCCTCGTTAGCACACTGGGGAGACCCACCAAATAAAAAAGAAATAATTATTAAGGGAATAGCTCGAATCCAAGAAACCGGGAGGACTTTTAGACAGCACATATATTCATACATACGTAAAGTAAAATAAATATCCAATTTTCTAGAAAATTCTCAGGTACCAAGGTCCATTTCTTCTGTATTTATGCTTTCCCTTTGTTGCTGTTTTTGGCAATGAGCTGAGTTTGCACATATGCCTGGCTGCGGGGCTTGTGCTCTCGGCTGCAATGCCCACTAGACTTGTACACTTTTAATTGCAGGATTCAAATGCACTCTGGCTTAGCGGGGTTTGCATTCCTGGCCACAGCTCTTGCGCATCTTTTGTTTCTGTGCTTGCATATGCCTGGCACCCTGTGTCAGAGATCACACATTCTGCGGTAGGGCTGGAGTCCCAGATGGCAGTGGCCTTACACTCAGCATCCCTACACTCAGAATGTGTGGGCAGCTCCAGGGATCAAAATTGCGGCCTCATGCTTGCAAGGCAGGTGCTTTTAGCCACCAGAGCAGCCTCCAAGGTCCTGTTTCTTCTTAATGGAAAGCACTGAGTTAAGATGTTCGGGAAACATGTCACTTTCATGTTCCATCTCGTTCCCGTCCACCAGTGGGTGAAGAAGGAGCTCAGCTTCCACACCCATTCCCAGCATCCATTGGCACCTTTCTGCACTTTTTAGATACATTTTGAGTTGTTTCCATATCTTTGCTATTGTACTATGTGCAGCGATGTTCATAGGTTGGCATATATCCTTTGGAATTAATGTTTTTGTGCTCTGGGGATAGATGCCAAGAAGTGGTATCACTGGGTCTTACAGTAGTTCTATTCCTTTCTTTTCCTTTCATTTATTTTTTTGATAGATCTTCATTTTGTTTCACATAAAGACTGAACCAGATAACATTCCCACCACTGGATGAGGATTAGTTTGTTACCACAATCAGCCCACACTGGCTATTTCCAGACTTTTTGATATGTGCCATTCTCACAGGCCAAGATACACAAACAACCCAAACGCCCAGTTCAAGTCAAGAAGTTGTGATATTCCAGGAAAGAGCAAAAGTATTCAATTTGCAGCAACATGGGTGAAATTAGAGATTATGATTAGCGAAGTCACTCAGAATGAAAGAGATAGATACAGAATGATCTGTCTCAAATGTGGGACTTAGGATTCACAATGAAGCAGCAACAAAATGCCCACAGGCAACAAAATGGGGGAACTGATCCTCATAATTAAGTTGGGGGATTCAGAGGGAGGGTGCTAGGGTCTTTGGGAAAGGGAGGAGGGAACATTGGTGATGGGTGTGGTATTGGAATTATGTGCATGAGAAACCATTATCAACAGTATTGTATCACTGTGTCATTGTCATCCCTTTGTTCACCGATTTGCTCACTTGGGCGCCAGTAACGTCTCCATTTGTTCCAGCCCTGAGATTTTAGCAGCCTCTCCTTACTTGTCCTTCCCAATGGTGCCAGTACCGGTGCTGTATTGGAGACTCTTTCAGGGTTAGGAGAATGAGACCTGCTATTGTTACTGTCTTTGGCATATCAAATATACCACAGGGAGCTTGCCAGGCTCTGTTGTGCAGGCAGGATACTCTCAGTAGCTTGCCAGGCTCTCCAAGAGGGACGAAGAATGTATATAAGAGAATACAAGCAAGTATGTTAAAACCAAACACACGTGTGCTACTTTAGATACATCAGTGGGCTAGAGTATAAGAGGTTGTATGGCGGCCAGGAAATACTGCATCGCTCTCTTCTGGGAGCTTGGTTTTATAGTCTCTGGATCTTGGCCAAGGCTGATGGGATTACATGGCGCTGTGAGCAGTTTGTGGGTGTGACTGCCAAGATACTGGAAAATGGGGGATCTGGGTGGAGGAGGCCCAGTCCCGATCCGAGCAGGCTTGGAGATCTCAGCTCCGGGTCCCATACACCTGGGTTCCTTGCTGGTTCCTTCATGCGTGAGGGTCGTCCAAGTGTGTGGAGAGTGGCCTTAAGCGTGGCTGTGGCTGGGTTCTGGAGGTTTTTGGCTGCCAGGGTTCTGCTTGGGTTCTGGAGGGAAACTCAACCCGCCCTCCTCCGAGGGGCCCCTGTGGCGTGGGGGCAGGAGGTTCTGTGGTTTACAACAGTATTGTAAACCACATAATCCCAACTAAACACAATTTTTTTTAAAAAAAGATACATTTTGGATTGGAGAAAGAGTACAGGGTTTAGAGCACTTGCACTAAATGCAGCTGGTCTCCACTTGATCCTTGGCACCACATACAGTCCACAGAGCACTGCCAGAAGTAACCCCTGAGCACAGAGCCAGGAGCAAGTCCTGAGCACCACAGGTAGGCCCATGAAGGAAAAACACAAACAAAAGTAAAAATTCAAAATACATTTTTTTTTCATTTTTTAAGGGGCTGAAGCAATAGCACAGTGGGTAGGGCGTTTGCCTTGCACGCAGCCAACATGGCCGACCCGAGTTTGATTCCTCCACCCCTCTAGGACAACCCGGCAAGCTACCGAGAATATCTCGCCCGCGGCAAAGCCTGGCAAGCTCCCCGTGACGTATTCAATATGCCAAACACAGTAACAAGAAGTCTCACAATGGAGACGTTACTGGGCCCGCTCAAATAAATCGATGAACAACGGGGGGACAGGACATTTTTTTCAGAGCCTTTACTATCATCTTTATACTAACATTAAAAGAATGTCAATCTTTTCAAAATTGCTTTTAGGAAGGGGGGGGAGTAGATAGCTCAAAGAGTTGGAGGGCACACCTTGCATGCAGAAGCATTGAGTTCAATCCCCAGTACCGCATGGCTACCTCCTCCCTCACTGCAACACTTCTGAGTGAGCTCTGGTGAAGTTTAAGCATAGTAAAAGTCTAAAGGGAAGGATCCCCTAAGAACCCCCAAGCACTGCCTGGGAGGTCACAACAAACAATATAGTGCCCTAAATTGCTTTTCAATTCCCTTTGGTTCTAATAGGGGCCTGATCACGCCTTGGGCTTTTTTCCCACTAGCAAGTTCAGACCCACACAATCTGATTCTTTTCTTCATTTTGCTGCAGTTCCACCCTTATCTTGAGCTTTATGCTTGGTTTTCTTCTGTGTAAATGCCGTTGTACTCATCTACAGAGGATTTAGAGAATACTCATTGAAGTTCCCTATTCTAAACCATTGTCAAGGACAAAATTCACAGCATGCTATATGGTGAGACAGGTAACTAGCCTGTGGGGATGGTATGATATCTCATGGATGGAACACCAGAGAGGCAGCCCAGTAAGAAATGCAATGGTCCACGGAAGGAGGTAGTTATGAGTGAAAGGGATATCATCTCCCAGAGTGCTTATAGTGCTCCATGTGCTAAAACTGCTGTAACTGAATCCTGGGTGAGTCCAAGAACAGAAATTTGTGACCTTGCAGTTCTGATTTTTGTTGTTGTTGTCATGTTGTTGATTTGATTGTTTGGGGGCCATACTTTGCAATGTTCAGTGCTTCCTCCTGGCTCTGTGCTCAGTAATCACTCCAGGTAGGGATCAGGGGACCATATGGAATCCTGAGGATTGGCCAGGTGCAAGGAAAATGCCCTACCTGCTGTGCTATCACTCCAGCCCATGCTTTAGGTATCCTTGGCTTTTCCTCTTCAGAGTCATGCCCTTCACTTTGGGGGTATCTAATATCTAGAGATACTACTCAGATAAGGCTTAGGTGCTGCCCTCGCACCTTATTTTTGCTTCATTCCCCTGTTGTAGGCCCTGGCCCTAAACACAGTCATTTTAAGAGGTGAAGGCTTCATTGTATGTAAGAATTTAAAATACAAACAGAGAGATTCTAGAAGAGTGAGAATTCACTAGAGCAATAAGAAATGGGTAGGTATTGAATGGGTCAAGGGTGAGAGAGAAATGGTGGGGTGGGGAAACATTCAATGGACAAAACTAGGTCATCATTGAGTGTATTTGCATCCTGGCCAAGAATTAAATACTGACAATATTTTTTTCTTCTTCAGAAGAGAGAAATACATCATTCCTGGCAAGAAGTACACTCACCAGCCCTGATTGGGGGAGTGACTGTAAGTCCACACTTAAGTGATTCTTTTTTGGGCTTTGTGGAACCATAGAGTGAGGAGAGACTGTAAATCATTACTGGAGGGCAGAGGAGGGCCTAGGACTGCAACTTGCAGGGTCACAGTTTTATGATTGATGACAGTATTACCTTTAAGGAGGCATTAAAATGATTGCCAACCACCAGGGAAGGTGTGGTTGATTTCCATGAATTTTAATAATTGATCTGGACTCCCTGCCCTCTTCTTATCTCCTGAATATGTCTTTGATTGTTTTCTCATATTTTAAAGTGTTACTAACCAGATTTAATTTTACACTGCACTCTACATTTTAAATACATTTCAATATAGTAGGTGTATAATGCTCCCAAATTTCTTTTGGATGTGATAGGGGCCTAGAGACTTGATTGGTTTTCTTAACATTAACTGCATCAAAAAAAAAAAGTCTTCTTCTAGTTTTCAATTTGAATGCAAATGAAATCCATTTATCTAGGAAACTCTTTTGTGTTCTTCCATTTAAGGAATCTACTAGAGGACCAATATTCTTTAATCATCTCCATTTTTTTCTCAATTCAGGGATTGATACAACCATCAGTTCTATTCAGATTATGGAAATCCAGCAGATAATAGATGCCCGGTATTGCAGTAGAAGTCTCCAGTGTGGGTAGGTAAGCTTCGCCATAACACTCCAGTTGTTCATGGAATTTTCCTAGTGCTCAGAGTTTTTGATACTAGCTAAATAGCTAAAGCCATGTGTTAAAGCCAACGTGTGTTACAATGCTCCTTAAATGAAAACACATTTGTTACATGGAGGATGGATGAATTATAAAAAGTTGCTACTAACAAGTGTTATTAAACCCTGGCCATCATGACTCCCAACTCCTATACTTTTTAATAGGTCCAAAGCAAAAGAAGCTTAAGGTGGTGGGGGATAGGGGCGGGGGTGGGGACACAGTGACTATTCCCCCCCTTACACTATATAAACATTGTGGTTTACAAAACTGCTCATGATGTTTTGTTACAGACATTTAATATACCAATACCAGTCCCACCAACATTGCATCTTCCCCCCACCATCATCTCCACTTTTCCCAATCACCCATTAAGCTTGCCTCCATAGAAGGCTCTCAATAATTTATTTAATATTGCTTGATATAAATAATTTCCTAAAGAATGATCAAAAATGTTTCCTTAGAAGAAAGTTAGTGAAAATTCTATCTCACCATGAAGACATTAAGCCCTAGTATAAGAGATTACTAAACTGTTGCTACAGGTTAAGCTTTCTGTGTTTATATTTTGTTAATCGAGATTGGTTGCCTTCTACATTACTTCCCATTCAATCTGATGTGCTACTCCTGGTTTATCAATGTTGATAAGAGGCCATGCACTCCAGGAAATTCAAAATTTTTAATGGGGTAATACAGCTGGAGTTAAGTTTTTTAACTGGGTGATGGCTTTGGGGCATGTGGATGACTTCCAGGGCTTAGGTATCCTTCTGAGAGCACGTACCACAGACATTGAGCTTCTAGTAAATTTTATAGACAAGAAAAATATTATTACTAGTGACTCCAAGTTATGTGAACTGATATTTGCTTATTTTACTGACAAGGATGTCCCTAGTTTGATTGCTGCAAAAATCAAGTTTATCTTCACTTTTTCAGCTTAAGAGGGGAAAATGTAGGCACTGCCAAAATTATAAGCAGTACTTGTCTCAAGTGTATGCCATATCACCAGCACTAAGGCGTGGATGCTTTCAGAATACATAGTCCAAGGACTTGTAGGAAACACAATATGCACATTGTAGACACTGAGAATGAGCACTTCTTTTTCTCTATGTTATTTTGGGTTTTAAACTACATAGGTGGTGCTTAGGGTTTTGTCGTGGCTTTGGGCTAAGGAATCAACTCTTGTGGGGCTCAGGGCCATATGTGGTGCATGCCAAGGACTGCCCTGGGTTGCATATGCCAAGTAAACACCCTACTCACTGTACTCTCTCTATGGCCCTTATTTTAATTTATCCTATCTTTCTTTTATTTGATTAATAGACATTTACTTGGCTCTATAGTTTGAATAGGTGTCAAGTCTGGATTCTCAGACTTCACATCTTTTTTTTTCTTTTTTATTAATTTTCAAATTTAATTTTATTTTTATAAAGTGGGCTGGAGCGATAGCACAGAGGGTAGGGTGTTTGCCTTGCAAGCGGCCAACATGGCCTACCCAAGTTCAATTCCTCTGCCCCTCTCGGAGAGGCTGGCAAGCTATCAAGAGTATCTTGCCCACACGGCAAAGCCTGGCAAGCTACCCCGTGATGTATTCGATATGCCAAACACAGTAACAATTGTCACAATAGAGACGTTACTGGGCCCGCTCGAGCAAATCGATGAACAACGGGAGGACAGTGACAGTTTATAAAATAGTTCACAATATTTGATTACATTTAATATTTGAACACCAATCCCACCACCATTACACCTTCCCACCACCATATTTTGGATGTCTCCATCCTAAACCCCAACCCTTGCCCTAAGGCAGAACTAAAATAATTTATTTTGTATTGTTTGTTATGAATAAACTTCTGAAAATGCTCCAGAAACGTTTCCTTAGAGAAAAGTGCATGGATTGTTGTATTTCACCCAGGGGCCATTAAGCCCTATTATAAGCGATCACTGACATGTTTTGAAGGTTGAGCCTTGTGTGCTTATATATTGAGAGATACCGATATTTGTATATCTATATATCTATAAAATATATTTCTCTCTAAGATTATTTGACTTCTACTTTAAACCCATCAAATGTGGTGCACCACTCTTAGAATGTAAGTGGTGTAACAGATAAGATGTCCAGGGATAGATTCACTCGTGGGTAAGGCTCAGCCTGAGCATGTGGAGAGGGGCCGTGACCAGGGCACCAGTTGAGTTCTGGAGGTTTTTGGTTGTTGGGGTTGGGTCCCTTGAGGTGGGAAGGGGCCTGACCTGCACCCTCTGGGGTGCCCCAATGAAACAGTCTGGCATGGAGTCCGGTGGCATGGCTATGGCGAGTCGTTTTATGCTCTCTTCTGAGAGAAGGACAATGAATCTCTGGATCGTGGCCATTGATGAGATTATCTGGCACCAGACAGAGGTGGCTTGTGGGTGTGACTGCCAAGTTGTAGGAAATAGGGGGAGGTGGGCGAAGGTCACTGATTCCAAGGTCCATTAAACCCAGAGTTTTCAGTCACAAGTCCCACGTGCCTGGGTTTTCTATGATTTCATTGGTGGGTGAGACTCAACCCGAGTGCGTGGAGAGCAGCCGTGAGCATTTCACATCTTTTTCAACCCAATACAACTTGGGCATCAAGTTGATGTTGCTGCATTTAAAATATAACCTGTAGGAACATTATAATTTGCTTTCTATCTTATACTCATTGTCTCGTTGAATTCTCACACAATGCCTATAAAGTAGGTATTACTTGCTTTTGATTTGTAATTTGTCTTCCTGCTGTTCAGAGCTTGAACAAGCCAGAAACTGACATTAATTCATGTGGTAGAGTGACATGATTAAGACAAACAGGTTGATTCAAGTTCAAAGACAAGCAGGTTAATTCAAGTTCAAATTCTAGAACTTCCAAAGGATGTTTATTCATTTTGTCTTTGTGATTCTCATCACCAAGATGGGGAAATTACTGCATAGGATTGTAGTGAAACATGTTGATTTTGGAGGCATAAAGATAGTAGAAAGTGAATTTTATTACTTTTAGCTTCTTTCAATTCAACAAAGTTCTCCTGACAGCATTTTTATCTTTCTTTTAACCTGTTTGTTTGTTTGTTTGTTTTTGTGCCATACCTGGCTGTATTCAGGGCTGACTCCTTGCTCTGAACTCAGGAATTCCTCCTGTCAGTCTCAGGGAACCAGGTTGGGTTCCAGGAGTCTGGGACTAACCTTGTGTAAGACAAATGCCCTACCGGCTGTGCTATTGCTCTGGCCCCTCAATTTTCTTTCTTTTTGCTTTCATATTTCATCAACTTGATAGAATGTTCATTAAAGAGAACCTAATGTGGACTGACTCTTTTTCTCATTAATCTGGTTTCTCTGTAATCATCAAGAGATGGGTAACCCATCAAGAGATGAGTAAGTCATAGGAGAATTTGTATTGGATTCATTTGTTCTTTTTGTTTTTTATTTGTTTTTTTGATTGTTTGTTTGTTTTTGAGGTCACACCCAATGGTGTTCTGGGTTTATTTGTGGCTGTGTATTCAGGAATCATTCCTGATGGTGGGTGGGCTGGGTTCGGGGGAAGCATATAGAATATTGGGTTGAATCCTGGTTGGCTATGTAGAAGGCAAGTGCTCTCTGCCTGCTGTTCTGTCTCTCCAGCCTCAGTTTATCTTTTTGCTGGACTTTTTATGTCATAATATGAATCAAAGACACTTTCCCCTGCACCCCAACTATCCTTCTTAAGGAGAACAATAAACATTACTGTCTGACAATGTTCTCTATTACCAAATGGTAATTAGGACTATAATAATTTTAGTTGCTTCGAATTCTTTTTTTTATTTATTTTTTTATAAAATTTTTATTAGTGAAACACCATGAGGTACAGTTGTAGACTTATATTTGTAAACTGCAAAGTAGTTCCTGATAATGTTGCTTAAAGGAGTGCTTTACAATAGAAGACCTGGTATTTATTATGTCCCACACTTCTTTCCAGAAGAATTGTTAAAGGCCTTTGCCTTATTTGTCTTCTGAAATCTAAATGTCCTTATGGAGAACTAAAGTCATTTCCTGTGCTTTTGTTCTCTGCTTTTAGTTTGGAATTTGACTTTCTAATCATTTTGTCTGTATATTATATAAAAAAGTATAAATATTTGTGGTATATTTTATTTATAAGACTGGAAAGAGATCACTCTGAAATTTGATAGGTTTGTCTCTGACAAACATAAAACTCTACTCTGTTAAACTTGATTTACTGTATTTATTGATGCAGAATTTTCCAAGTTGATGTACATAATGAGCAACAAAATGCCTTTGAGGTCTTTCTTGCACATTTTAACTTGTGATTTTATTTTTTTTCTATAATTAGGTCTGGACATTACAATTATAACATTCCTGTTAATAAGTACACACCCACCAATGTCAAATTCTCTCTGGAAATCAAGTAAGTGCATAGTTTTAAAAACAAGTGCATTTTTATCATTATTTGAACAGTCAGTGTGAATTTAGTTCACAATTTGATAATAAGTTAGGATGTGGAAAGCTATCAGTCCAAACGAGTGATGGCTGGGTTGAGAGTTAGGCCAGCAAAACTGGTTTTCATAACAAAGCTGGAATCATCTAGACTCTCGTGGAATGAAGTGACACTAAGAGACACGCACATCTGCAAAGTAGAAATGATCTTGCACTTGCTCCTCACCAACTGCAGAACTGCCCTGGGTGTGTCCTTGTAAATGAAGCTGGAACAAGTGTGCAGCCTCCTATGAACCCACACTGAAGGGTGGATCATGTATTTCTTTGTGAGTTCTTGGCAGCAATGCCAGTGCAGACAGCACACACTTTCCCAGGGGTGAGTGTGGAGATGCAAGCAGAGGGAGAAAGGGAGTCTGAATTTGGAATTCAGCACACCAAAAGAGAATTCAAATTTTGATCATTTCTTACTAATTCTATGATCTTGGGGGAAAATACTTATCTTCTTTGAGCTGCCATTTATTCATCGTAAACGAAGTTTACTGTATTATGGTAGGCACAGCTGTGGTGGGAATCACAGTTAGTAACAGTGAAGTGAATACCTACCGTTTGCTGAGCATAGACTATAAGCCAGATATTGAACATTTTAATATTGGGTTTTAAATAATCATCACAACAGTTTTCTGAGGTTGTCAATTTTTATTCCCTATTGTGTCCTTTTCAGATGAGAACACAAGTTAGAAGGCAAAAAAAACAAAAACAAAAACAAAAACAAAACTGTCTTGAAACTAGTCAGTGCATGGTAGAGCTGGCCTTTTAATTCAGCCTGTCTCGTTAGCCATCACGGCCTCCCTGATGAGAGGAAATATGTAGGGCTAGAGATCCCTTTTGGCACATGATCAGCGCCCATAGTGGTTTTTATTATGATCATCTTTCCCCCAAGTCACGAAACTCTAATCTACTCATCAAATACCTTCAATCATGACAGTACTTTCAGATTTGTGACCCACTCCACTCAAAAATCAGTTGTAAGCTATTATTCTCCTCTAATAGGGTGATAGAGGGGGTGGGGTGGGGAATCTGGTGAACACAGTCTATCCATAACAGTTGTTATCTGGGACTGACATTCTTTCCATGACAATCAGATATGAGCCAGCAGGCTGCCATCAGCAAGCATTGCATAATAAAATGCATATTTGGAAATTTGAGTCAATTTTCAAGTAAACATTAGACCCTCTTCTTGTCACGTTTCCATTGGAGCTGCTTTTTTTTTTTTTTTGTCAAATTCCCGTCAGATTCCCTTCTTGTCAAGGTGCATAGCCTAGTAAGGAGCTGGGAACCGCTTCTCCATTGGCCTCTTCTTTTCTTTGTCTCTTGAAGCACAACAGAGCCATTGATAGTCTTCCAGTGCAAATTCACCCGTGGAAATATATGCTTTCATAGTAAAAGGGAAGCCAAAGGGATGCAAAGCCACCAAGAAGTCTCCCAAATGATGACACAGGTAACCACCATCATTTCCGGATCCTCAGTATGATATCCCTATTCTAAAAGAAACGTGTCTGGTATTAGTATGTCTCACAGCTTCTCATCCCCTGCTCAGAGGAAGCTGCAGCCCCAGGTCAGAGATTTCTCCTAGCCTGGCCGTCCCTGGTCACAGGGATTTGCTCAGCCTCCACTGTGTGTCTTTGAGAAGCTGTGACTCCTACCAAAAGCCATTGTCCCAGTTACCCCTCCTAGTCCAGGAAGCGCTGTCTCAGCCCTTACACTCTTCCCTTGGGATAATAGATGTGGTTATGAAGTGGATCTCTCTTTTGCTGTTTAGGGGTATCAGCACATATGGAACCTTGCTGTGGCCCCTTTCTTTGATAGTGCCTACCACTTCCGTGTTGCTGCCCCGGTAAGCTTTTATATTTCCCTTTTCAGTGAGAAAGAAAGAAAGGAATGATTGAATGAAGAACGAAAACACTTAAATGACAGTCCATCCTTACATTAATCACTCTCTTTTCCTTCCTATTCTGACAGGATTTAGCGGACTGTTCAACAGATCCTTATTTTGCTGGGATATTCTTTACAGATTACTTCTTTTACTTCTATCGACGCTGTGCCTAAATTATTCAAGTTTGGCTAGAGACTTTACCAAAGGAAATACTAAGAAGTTTCGTTCGTGGTAACATCTCGCAAGTTCTTTCTTCTTTTAGTGAAACAGTCACATTTCGTGCCGATGGACTTTTTGAGGCTTCATTTCCTAACAGTTTTGAGAAATGAATGAGGAGAATAAAGCGTTCGCTGAAACCTGAGCTAATGTGGAGTTTGATTTTGCCATGTATCTGAAGAAAGCATTTTCTGGAGTAAATAAATGGCTCAGGTGAAGTTGAAAATACTGCATACTGTGTAAAGGAAGCTGTGAGGCCAAAATAAGCAGGTTTAGCTTTACTTTGCCTTAAAACACTTCAAAACCTTTGAGGGGGAAAAAATGGCACATTTTGCCCTGTCAACTTGGTTGCACTAAACTAGATTTTTGAGAATGTGTAATATGGGGAGAAAAGGATGGTGCCTGGTGCTGAAATCGCATTTAGGTAAACTATTATTAGCTGTGTGTGCACAGCACATTCCTATGTTACATACGCTAGAAATCTCATACAGAGAAACAGTTGCAACTTGCTTTACCATGCTTATTGATACTAAGCTTCCTGTGTAGTTAGAAATGTCCTTTAAAGTCTTATCTGTGACTGGTCTTTAAGGTAGGCCAGACAATGGAGGCTCAGGGAGCTTTATTTGAGCTTCCAATTGTTACTACTTTTTTGGGTCTATTTTGTTTTTTGCTCTCCCACTTCAGATGTGGGTTTCTTTTACAGGGCACGAAAGTCCATCTCCATTGTTTACAACCAAATTAAATTCCACTTGAGGGGTAGATTTCCCAACTTAGACCGGCCAGAAATCTGCTTGTCTTTTCTAAATTCTGAATTCTGATGGGAAGGAGACCCGGGGGTTGGGGGGGGGGTGGGGTGGGCACAGGGGAACAAAGGGAGTGTTGACCCACAGACAGTGGTTACTCCTGGCTCTGTGTTTAGAAATCACTCTTGGAAGTGCTTGGAAGTTCATATGTGGTGCTAGGGGTTGAAGCCTTATGCAAGGTATGTACCTTATTTCCTGTATTTTCCTTCCATCCTGGGCCCTGAATTTGATGTTTTATCATCTTCTGCCTGTCAGACCTGGAAGGATTCTACCTCTCCAAGTTAGTTCTTAAAAGGTAATGGCCCACTCACTCACCCTTGAGTGATTTTCAAAAACAAATCAAAGCCAGAGGCTATACCCACTCTGCCTTCTTTATCAGGTTCTCACATTACCCACCATTCCTAATCACCCAGGGACCAGGGACCAGATAAAAAGAGGAAGTCCTTAGGGCACAGAGCTTACTGAAACAGTCAATCCAAACCTGTTTACCCTGCCTTGCCTGTTCCATGCAGAAACCGCCACAAAGGCTCTTGTTCTCAGTTCTTCCCTCTCCTGCTGCCTCCTGACCAACCCTGGGGTTTTCCCATGTGACCTCCTAGACATGGCATTGTCCCCTCCTCTTGGAACTTGTGAGCAACAAGTGACTTTTTTTTAAAGCAGCAGTCATCTCTTGATCTGCTGACTTTTTAGATTACCCCAAGTTTCTAATGTTACACTAAATCTTAGAAGACAGAGATGCAAGCCACTGTAGTTCCAGGTAATAGTACTGATGGTTGGCCGATTCCTCTGACTTTTATTGTGGTTCATAATTTATAATAAAAAATATATTACTGTGCTCTTTGTCCACTCTTTTAAACTCCTAAAACCCTTCAAGTGCTTTTTAAGAGTTTGTAAGTGCTGAGAGAAAGATATCTTTCATTTTGTTTTGTTTTGGGCCACACCCGGCAGTGCTCAGGGCCTATTCATGTAAGCCTGGCAAGCATCCTACTCACTGTACTATCTCCTGTACTACCTCTTCAATGCCAAGAGAAAGGTATCTTTTGTTATGTTGGCAATTTGATTTTTGGAAACAACTAAGGATATGGGCTGAGTGCCAAGAAAACCAGCCCTATAATTGACAGGTTGAAACTTTCAGTCCCATGCTCAGAGACCTCCATGGAAGGAAGAGGGGTTGGAGGCTAAGTTCAATCACCAGAGGCCAATGATTTAATCAATTGTGCCTATGTAATAAGTCCTCCATAAAAACCCCAACCACGAGGTTCAAAGCGTTGCACCCTTTTCCTTTTCCCACACCTGGCCTGATGTAGTTGGCTCTTCCTTTTATAATAAGTGAGTAATCTGGTACATAAATATTATTCTGGTTCTATGAGTCCATCTAGCAAATGAATTGAAACTAAGGAGAGGTTTGTGAGAATCTCAGATCGGTGGCAAGTCTACCAGAAGCAAAGAGGCCAGCCTGGGCTTGTTAACTGGGTGGTCTGAAGTGCTTGGGACTGAGCCTTAACCTGTGGAATCTGATGCTCTCTCCAGGAAGAATGTGCCAGAATTGAGTAAAATTGTAGAATATCCAGCTGGCCTGTGAGAACTGGTTGTTGTTGTGAGATGAGATGCTCCTGCTTTTCAGTGAAAATTGAGGGTCCCTAAACATTTAGCCTGTGAATCAATTAAAACGAGATCATTGGGGAATGGGGAGATAGCTCAGCAGGTTAAATAATGATGATCCCAGGAGACATCCCAAGTATACAGCCAAGAGTAGTCACCAAACACTACCTGGTATAGCCCCCAAACCAATAAATATATTCAATCAATAAAATTAGACAGTTGGGTTATTTTCCCTTACAGTCATTAGTAGCAACAATCTATCCTCTTCTTATTCTCAAATATTACCAAATATGAACCATGTGGATGGAAATTCTAGGACACCAACTATTAAGAAAAGATGCAGTCCTTGCTTTCATAGAAAATATTTCAAAATATACTTCTGGATACAATAGTAGTTAGATCTATTAGGCACTTACTTTGCATCACTTTCAGTGGACTTTATCTATATGTCCTTAAGCAAATTGCATAACTTGTCTAAGCTTCAATTTCCTTCTATATCAGGAAGGACAAAGATAGTGAGTATCTGCAACATAGGATTAAATGATATAAAATGTGTCAAGCATAGGTAGGTTCTAAGTAAATAAGTACGAGCTGTTATTATACCTGCACAGATCAGACTCATTGTAAAGATTACAGAGGGATTAGAAAGGGATTGAGTAACTCAAATACACTGAGGCATTTCATCCATAATGAAAACTAAATGGCAGTTGAATGCATGCTCATGTGTTACATAATGTTTATGATTTTTTTAAATTTTGTATTGGGAAGCTTGTTTTCAGCAGAGCTTTTATAGAAATTTTCATAAATAGTTAATTCTTGGGGAAAAATTTCCAGGACTCCTTCAGTCTCTTGGGTTCAGATTCAAGCTTGATTCTGAGTTGTAGTACCAGCCTGTCCCAGTCTGACCTAGGTGTGGAAGCTATAGATAGAATTCTTTTTTTTTTTTAAATAGCATCCCAGGTGATTGGTGTGGGAGAGACTCCATTAATTTGACTCCTCTCGTAAAGGAATGCTTTTCAGAGTTCTTTTCAGCCATAAATCCTATGTTCTAATTTAATCACTTTTGATCAGAATATGGGAATTTTAACTACCTAATGTGGTTTAGAAATGTTCACCATAGGATCTCTATAAAACTAATATTTGTTTTCCCATAAAATTCCACCCCCCAAACGACCAGTGTTTTATTCTACAGGAAATTGTTGAAAGTCTTCAGAAATGACTTGGGGGCCTGAGCGCATCTTTGGTCATCTGTTGTAGTCTGGGTATGGTTCAACTTGTTAGGAAACGAAATGGCAGTTGAATGCATTTAATTTAATTTAAATTGCTGCAAGAGTGTATTTGCAACATTTTTGCAGTTGAGAGATGTCCACTCTATACCATGCTGTTTTAGCCAAAAGGTTTTTTCTTCTGTTGGGAGAATTATCCGACTCTCAGCTGGAAAACAGCTAAATTCTAGGGAAGTAAAGTGTCTATTAGACTCTTTAACCTCCAGCCTCATCACCCCAATCTAATCATGTGGAATACCTGAGACAGTGGAAGGACAATCAACAAAACACCTGATCTGTGCCCCTCACAACTGTCTAGAACACAAAAAACAGGAAAAGTCTGAGAATTGGTCATAGCTGCACTTAAGAAGTCACAGTGACTAAATGTCATGTCTTATCTTGAATGGACCTGAGAACAGAAAAGAGACTAGAAATAAACATAGGCAATCTGAAAAAACTAGTGCTTTAATTTAATTACTAATAATGTGTCAACATTTATTCATTTATTCAGACACGCCATGTTAATGCTAAGATATTTGTAAAAGGGGAGACTAGAACGGGCTATGAGGATTGCTTACCAGCTTTGTGATTTTTCTATACATCTGGATTTGCTCAAGAGATTAAAATTTATTGTTACAAAAGTCAGAAAAAAGTCTATAAGACCTGGGCTAAAATGTCACATGCTTTCATCACAAGCTATTTTTGATAACAGGATAAGTTTAAGCCTGAAAAATAAGTATCTTATTTATTTACTTCAGATAATTGCAAGTATCTTAATCCCCCCCACTTTGCCAAATATTTGTCAGATTTTGTATCTGACAAATATTTTAGTTAGGCCCCAAATATCACAGTTTTCCCATAAAATTCCATTCCCTATGTAACATAAAATATAAATATTTATATTTTATATATTTATATATTATGTATATTCCATGCATATATTATATTCCATGTATATATTATGTATATTTCACCCCCTCTGTAACATAAAATTCCATCCCTATGTAACATAAAATATCATCACATAAATAGTACAAAATAATTATAGTCGAGTAGAATTGGAATGACAGTATCTTTTGATTTTTTTCTTTTGGGGTTTGGGGCTATATCTGGCAGGCTTGGGCTATTTCTGACTGAAATAGGGATTGCACCTGGCAGTGCTTAAGGGATCGCAAAGAAGTGTGGATCACACCTGAACCTCCTTGTCCTGGAGGGATAGTATAGTAGGTAAGAGCTTGCCTTGCATGCTGCCAGCACAGATTCTGTTTCTGGTACCATATCTTGTCCCCTGAGTCCCTCTAGGAGTGAACACAGAGCCAGAAGTAAGCCCTGATCACTACTGGTGTGGCTTCAAACCAAAAATCAAATGAACACACATGGGCCTG